AAACTCTGACTGATCATTAAAAAGGTTCACAGACTCAACGGGAAGGCTCAATCCATTGGCCGGGATTCATGATTCAATTTTAGGGAAAATATATGTCAGTACTGGCACCAATCTGATTAAAATGCAATGTAGCTATAGGCAACAATTTCTTTTTTTTCTTTTTTTTAATTTATATATATATTTTTTCATTGATATTTTTGTTTATTCGTGACTATTGTTTTGTTTACTATGAGGTTATCGACAAAAATACTGGAATTTACCTCCAAGTGCATTGTACTTCGAATGTAATGTCCAAGACACAGTATTATTATACATCTGTCATCATAACACTGTAATTTTGTGGTATTGCAATGGGTATTTGCATCCTACCATATTAGGAAATGTGAATTTCAAATATGGAATGATTATGCAAAATAACAAATATGGCAGCCCCATTGACTGGACCAAACACAAAGAAGTTTGCTAAATCTGTTCGAAACTTTTTGGATTTCAGTCTTCCAGTGATGTATCCTTGGGAAGAAAAGATGTATAATAATAAAGTTATTACGAGGAGACAGCAAAGTATGCACTAATACAGTATGTGGTCACATTGACCTCCGCTGTATGTCGGTCGATACTCCTGCTGTACTGTCTTCATGCATACTTAGCGATACCCTCATAATAACCTTATATTATTACCTGTATTATTGTGGCATTACACTAAAATACATTTAGAATGATGCACACATGAAATCATGAGATCCTCATCGCTGATCACTGTACATATTTATTAAAGTTTCATACTATAAAACCATTTATCTTCAATGGGTTTTAAATTCACAAACTTGGTGGAGAAACAATGTTCACATGGATTGAATTGCGCAGAATTTACTTAATAGCGTGAATAGCGAAACTGACGAATAATTAAAGCATTTACAGTTGCCTTAAATCATTTAAATCAAGTTGCACCATATAGGAAAGAGAGTTGATAGTTACTACCCCGTTCCCAAAGGTTAATTCAAAACATTTAAAAACAAAACCCCTAACTAAAGAACACTCAGTTCTTACTCCGAGATGAACAGCGCCATCACCGATCAAACAACTTTTTGTTTTCCTTCTCATTTACAACTCGAATAAACGTCAAGCATGAATTGCTAAAATTGTATTACATGTAAACACATGAGTTTCGAACAACTAGCACTTTCATGACTGGTAGAATTTTTCTTGACTTGACCTTGGTATGCACAAGAACATTGCGTAGGTCCACGACCAGTACTGAATTTGAAATAGATATGACATGAACCCGGAAGCAAATTCTATTTCCATTTTTAGTTCAGTTTAAATTACTGCAAGACTTGATCGTTCATTGTTTTTGGGCATAAATTATGACATGTGGCCCGGGTATGTTGACATAATTTGACATACGTATACGTTGCTATGGGTTTATATCGAGCAAGGCGCGGCGTGACGACAAACGCCCTTCAAACACATCTCGACACTGGAGAGTTTTGAAACTTCACGCCGTGTCCTGCATTTACCTACCCTGCTAGCATTGGAAATGCATACCGATTGTCAGTCCAGTAATAGTCAAGTCAAGGAAAATATCCGAAAAAACAAAAATACCCGCTATGACAAGAGTGGCACCAAGACGCTATGTCGTGAATCTTCCAACTTGTAAACACAACTAAGATCTGACGTCACGAACCATTTTATATGTCGACCAATCACACGACCTGTACTAAAATGTTTTGATTGACGTTGGTAATCAGCTGTTTCCGTGACGAACCATCGTTGTGCGATTTGGCCAGTGTTTTAGATG